GAGAGAGAGGAATGGAGAAAGAGAGAGAGAGAGAGAGAGAGAGAGAGAGAGAGAGAGATGTATGTGTGACACTTCCTCTCGTTAAGGTCGACCTTCCGAGAGCCATTACTATGGAGATGAGCCATGAGTGTACGTGTGGGATAGCGTTGTCTTCCCTCCAAGCCGCGTAGGACCAATTGAATTAAAAGCAGCATGCCTCCCTGGGCGTCATTTGGGGTAATTTTGAAGACAATTTCCCCGTCGTTTGGTTATTTTCCCCCAGGCTAATATGGTTACCTTAATTGAATATAACATAACCAACTTACTAAGGTCCTGTAACTTGAGGAACTTTTATACGATTTACACTTGAATGTAAAAGAAAATACAACATATTACTAACCATAGATTGATATACGCATTTGTTAAGGAGTTAGGAAGAAAATAGGAAGTGGGTAGGGATTATACTCCTAGTGTTGACGTTTTTCTTAGTTCTTGGACGCTAAAGACGGGTTCATACGGATTTATACCTACTTGATGGTAAATATTTCATTGAATCTCAAAAGGCGATGGAGATTAATGTAGAAAAATGAAACAATGTACGTAAAGTAATGCCCCCACACACACACCTGCACTCACACACACCTGCACATGCACACACACCTGCACACGCACACACACCTCTACATACACACCCATCCATCCATCCATCCATCCCTGCACATGCACACACACCTGCACACGCACACACACCTCTACATACACACCCATCCATCCATCCATCCATCCACCCACCCACACACACACACCACCCACCCACCCCACACACACACCCATCCATCCAATCCCCACCCACACACCCACCCACCCCACACACACACACACACACACCCCATCCATCCATCCGTCCACCCACACACACACCCCACCCACCCCTCCCCATACACACAATGCAAGTACACCCCCACACACCCACCCCCACACACACACGCACGGTGAAGACCCACACACCACCCATCTCTACACACACACGCACGTACGTACACCCACACACCACCCACCTCTACACCCACACACACCCACCCCACACACACACGCATCGCATGCACATCCACACACCATCCACCTGTACACACACACACACGTATCGCACACACACACACACACATGCATGTACACCCACACACGCACGTACACCCACACACACCATCCTCCTATACACACACACGCACGTACACTACACCACCCACCCCACACACACACACACGCACGTACACTCACACACCATCCACCTGTACACACACATTGAGTCGCACGTACACCCACACACCGTTCACCTGCACACACACACACACGCACGTGTGCACTCCACACACCATCCACCTGTACACACACACACGCATGTACACCCACACACCATCCACCTGTACACACACACACGCACGTACACCCACACACCATCCACCTGTACACACACACACTAGTAAACAAATTAATTACTCTCTCCATATCGAACACTAACGACATAACCGAATCTCTAAATTGCATCAAAGTTTCCCTATTGGAGGAGGGAGCGAGAGAGAGACAGGTGAGAGACGCGTCGTGAGAGATAGCTGATGAATGGGGGAGATAGGTGAGAGAGAGATCAACAGTAAGAGATAAATGCAACGTACGGAGAGAGAGAGAGAGAGAGAGAGAGAGAGAGAGAGAGAGAGAGAGTGAGTGAGAGTTACCTGGATAGAGCCCTCCTCGGGTGTGCTCTAAGCTGACGTGTTTACCTGTCAGGTGTGTAAGTGAGTCATGCCTTGATGGACGCCGGGAGGAGGGAGAGGTGACGTAGGAGGAGAAAAAGAGGAGGGGTGGAAGGAAGAGATGGGGTGGGAGGAAGAGATGGGGTGGGAGGAAGAGATGGGGTGGGAGGAAGAGATGGGGTGGAGAGAAGAGGAGGAGGGGTGGAGGGAAGAGGAGAAGGAGGGGTGGAGGGAAGAGGAGAAGGAGGGGTGGAGGGAAGAGGAGAAGGGGAAGTGAGGAGAAGAGTGGGAGAGGTAGAGGGAAGAGGATGATGAGCGGAGGGAAGAAGAGAAGGAGAAGGAGTGGTGGAAGAAGGTAAAATGAATGATGATGATGAATTGAAGGGAAACGAGAGAATGAACAAAATATTAAACTTTTTCAAATTAAACTTTCAAACACCACTACAGATATATTCCTAAAAGTTGCTAAAAAGCGCCGAACCTCAATAAGAAAATAGCAAAACAAAAATGTCCTACAATATATGCTTTACGATTTACCATAACAAATTATATACTTTAATGTATTGCTAACTACTCACCCGGTAATTCCTAGTCAATTATATCTCCCTCGTTAACGTATGATGGTCTGTCTGGGTCATGTGAGGTCACTGATTGCAGTACACTCTGACCTACGATGAATCTCCGTCTATTTTCATCAATCTTTACATCTCGGGTCACTGAACTATTTCTTACTCGTCGTGATCAGCTTTAAAGGTCAGGGAACTTTGGTGACGGTATATTGTGGCAGCAGCTGACACAATACCAGGGAGGGAGAACACAACAAGACTGACTTTTGAACACCTCCTGGGGACCCGCCGGCCGGATCTCATCGTGCCATGAACAAGTCTAATATGGGTAAATAGACCGTTTTCTCTCCAGTATAGAACCTGTCCACAAGTCGGAATTATGAAGGCGGGAATCATCGTTAGTCATAATTTTATTAGTTTCCTTGACATTTATTTCGTAATTATATATTTTTTTAAATTAAATATGTCAAATAAAGTGACTAAACTCGCTAAATTTGCAGCTTGAAAATCGCTAAAATAACGCAATGGCAATTCTCGTCTTGTCTCTTTTAGATACAAGACGAGAGAAACAGACATAGAGAGACTGCAAGAAGCCTCACACACGTCGACCATCATCCATCACCTCTCACTCATCTCTAATTACTAACACTGTGATGAACTGCAAAACCTCGTATACAAAAAAAGGTGAACCACACACACACACACACACACACACAGTCGACTACGCTTACAGCCAAGACGAGAGAAAAGCAACTAGGAATAGTTCCAAGACTAAAAAGATGAAGGATTCCCGTCACGCACCGATCTCATTCCCATTCCATCTACAAACCTGTTACCGAATGAAGCCAACCTTGCCCTTCCTTCTGGCCTGAGACTCCTGGAGGCGGTAGTGCTTGGCCACCTTCAAGAAATACCAATGTGCGTTCGTGCAGGAGGTCCGCTGAATCCAGGTAGATTGTTTAGATAAATCCGCATCGTTCGCGTAATATTTTCTTATCAACTCAGATTTTTTTATTATGTTTAGTCAATGCTAGATTTTTATTTGACTGATGGATTAAATAAATATTTCTCTGTAATCAACATGTACCAAACGAGTCATGACCAACTGAACAATAAACTACATTATTATTCTCCTACATAAAAGTGAACTACAAAACCTACACGAGCAATAGACACTTTTTTTTACACTCTGTACTGAGTATAACATAACATTATAAGTATCAGGAAATTATCACAAAGCAGTAGGCCTACAGGTGAAAAAAATTGGGGGTATGAGGAAATTATTATTAAAAAATTGACAATGGTGGTACTGTGAGACAACTGACTGACTACCCACAGTGACCTTACCGTGACCCTCCACTGACACTGAGAGCATAGCCATCCTCGTGGGCATTCAAGAGGGGGCGACCGATGTCCGCACTGAACGCCGGAACCTCCTTATAATCAGTGACCACTTCTGCGCTAGCGAGGCTCAAATTACCCTCCCCTTCCTCCCAACACACCCTAGCCGCCGTCGCCGGGCTAGAACAAACTGATGACATCTGTGTCAAGTTTATTTGGATCCCGTCACATATAGGAATAGCTGCCTGTGACACTGTTGATCGGCTTGCCAAAGAAGCTACACAAGAAGAAGATATTGAAGCCACTCTCGCCCTCTCCCTGAATCATCTCAAATCTCGCATACATACTGCGCAACGAGAAGCATTCGACGAACACTGGACACACCAGAAACAACGGTTAGCGTCACACTATGGCGTAGTAACCGGTGATGACAACCACCAGAAACAACGGTTAGCGTCACACTATGGCGTAGTAACCGGTGATGACAACCGCCACTACAAAGAGTATCAACCTCTGACTCGATCCCAACAGATTGTGTGCACGAGACTGCTCCTAGGGTACAGGGACCTATGGGAGTACATTGGCCACCCTGAGCCTGGCAGCACTGTTTGTAAACTTTGTGGTCAACCCGACTCTCACACCCTCTCTCACTACATCCTCACTTGCCCAATGACCTCCTCCTACAGGTCCCAAGCTGTTACCAACACCTCGTCCTCCCTTAACCAAACATCCCTCCTCCTAGAGACAGGCCTGGCACTAGGGACCTGCCACGCTCTGCCATAAACAGATGAATTGTACCGGGAATTTTCCCCCCACACACTCTTCATTCTGTCACTTTATGTAATTTGCTGACAAAACCCATTACCCTTCAGGCTTTTATGCCCTGAATCCATGAGTCATAAAGGCAAGCATGAACTACGCATGCTTCCCAGATGGGCGCTGTAAACGCTTTTGCACTTCACCTTGCACAGGATGTAAGGGGGTGCCCAATAAACTAGCCCTCTCGCGGGGCAAATTAAAAAATAATAATAATTTTAAATCAGAAGTGACCCCAGTGATCGACACACTTCACTCTGGTGTGTAGTCAAGTAGTATTGAATATCAACATACATACGTGTTAATCACAAGCAAGGCAGTGATGACGTCATTAAGTGTGACATCAGAATATGATCGCATGTAACCAAATTTCCTAATACTCGTGTGTAAATTATTATAGAACATTTAAATAGCGGATTACTAGAAATAGATATGAAATAAAAATACAATAAATAGCACAAAAACACGTGTTAGCAACTTTTGAGGGAATGTGGTGAGCGGAGCGAACCGGAAGGGTGAAATGAAGCCCCCAGTCTCCCGCAAACAACCACGGTGCAAACATGTCTCTCTGACCAACGCTTGATAGGGGTCGCCTCAAAGCCCTTCCAGCACTATCTGTGAACGCCCATGGACTCCTCTAACATGACACGTGTCCCTGTACCAACGACACTCTCCTCACAGCTGTTTCCTTCACGTGTCCTGAGCGCTACAAAACGGATAATATGGAGTTTGTTATTGTGTATGGATATTTCTAGTTCTTATTAAACACACACGTGAGACTGATGAATGAAGGCCAAGGATTATATTCCCATGAAGAATGAATATAATTGAAATCTGAAGGCATGGGCTCCTGAGTATTAATTCCTTCATTTAGTGTTGAATATATGGGTCTAAGATGAGTAATATGCTGTTATATCATGCAAAGTGGTGTTGTGGTCTGGTGTTTCAGTTGTATTAGATGTTGTGAGTGAATGTTGCATGTTGCTGTAATGTCACGGCAGAAGTTATTATTTTTTCATGATGTATTGACTATTGATTCTCAGTGAATTTCTGTGTAATGTAGAAACTTGAAAATATCTTGAGTTAATAAATAATATACAGTTTCATTCATGTTCCTATATTATAAACATGACCAGATGATTATTAACAGACTAAGATATATATATACTGTATAAGTCCTTATAAGTGCTAGGAGATATAAAGAGTTTTCATTATGCTCGTGTAAAAGCATTGCATGACTTTCCTGTAAATTGTGTAAAAAAAAAATAATTAAATTCTATCGTAGCCTTGGATCCTATTGCATGTTACTACAGGTAAATAGTTACTGTACTGTACCTGGCTATTGAGTTTAAGAGTCTATTAGTGTGAGTGTTGGTGCAGGAACTTACACACACACTTGTTCAGGTATAGTGTGTGCAGGTAGTGGTCTGGTAATTGTTAGGAAGTTAGTGATTATGTAGAGGTTTGTCAAGAGATATTCCCAGGAAGTCGTATATTTGGTGCACCAGAAATATTACCTGGAATTTTTAAGTATTTGCGTGTGTTATGTTTGTTGGTCTTAATGTTTAGTTTAATATTAATACCTTTTTTTTGTTATTGAAACCCGAAACTTGTCTTTAATAAATGTTACCTTCAGTGATCTAATTATCTCTTATGTGTTAGTTGTGGTACAATGGTCGCTTCACCTAGTGTGACTCTCTCGTTAAATAAAGAAAAATGTGGACTTAAGCAAAATACAACGTCATTATTCAAGCCAATAAATGTTTTAGGGATAATTTGTCAAAATTTCATTAATTTTATGTATTTTTACAGAAATTTAAACTGATGTGTAAAACAAGACCTAAATTACGTGTTTGTACTAAAACTCTAAAAGAAAAGCATCAGTTGTAATCAAAGGAACCATAACCTAACCTTACTCATCCTGACCTGACCTGACCTGCATACAGTTCAGGTAAAGTATTGTAAGGTTAATACGGTGAAGGACGACTTGAGGGAGGATTACGACTGACGCACTTAATGATAGTGCCCACTGTGGCATGCTAACCACAAGGTTGTGCCTTGGTTCCATATTGGTATTTTATTTTTATGATTTCCGACTTTTTTCAGGGGTGGCAACGATGGCGTCACCGCAGCCATCACCTAGTAAGCTGAGCAAATACACAGCGATGGGGCACCGTAAGTCATGCCGGGGAACATCACCTCTAAGTACCCAACCCTTAAGGCACACTTTGCCGTGCTTGCTGCTCTATCTGTCTCTCTCTCTAGTGTGTTGACTGTTATGCTCACAACGCTGCTACTTTATCTTACACGACATACACACACACACACACACACACACACACACACACGACTTCGATAAACAAACAACCTGCTTTCTTGGCTCACGGATTTTTTAATGCTGATGCACCTTGACTCAGTCGCTACCTCACCTAGCTCAGTCGCTACCTCACCTAGCTTGGAGAAGGACGTGCCCCTAAGTGCTCGCATTAGTGACCAGAGAAAATGGCTGCCTTGGTTCGTTGTGTTTTGGGGGAAGAAGAGCGGAGTGTGGGGAAGGACGACCTCCTTGCCACTCTGTCAGGTAGGTGTCCTGCCTAGCTTGATATCTGCGAAGGAGGAGCAGGCGTGAAGAGTGGTTGTTTCCAAGGGGACTAGGGTCACACTCAGGAAAGCTGACCAGGGTGTGGAGTGCAGTAACCCCTACCAGGTGTTGGAGGAAGCTGGCGGGGAAGAAAAGAGGAAGGACGAGGAAGAGAAGAGGCAGGACGGTATGGTGCAAGGAGAAGAATGGGCAGTTGTACAAGCCCTGTCCAGTGGTAAGGTCGTGGTAGTTGGGGACAGCAAGGTGAGGTTCTCAGATAGGACTTTTTGTGCAAGAGATAGGAAACGTAGGACTGGGGTGTGTTTTCCTGGGGCTGGGATAGGGCATGTAGCTGACAGGATAGATAGGGTTTTGTCAGGGGAGGGTACCAATCCAGTAGTGTGTCTTAGTGTGGGAGGAAACGACATAGGAAAGGTTAGGAGTGAGGAACTTTTCAAGAGGTATAGGGAGGCGCTGGGGAAGATTAGAGATAGGGGAGGGATCCCGATAGTATGTGGTGTCTTTCCTAGAAGAGGGGTTGGTCGTGAATGGCTGTCCAGGGCAATTGCTATAAATTGCCGACTGGAAAAACATTGTGCAAACAATGGTTGGGCATTCATTGATAACTGGCAACCATTCTATGGCAACAACTACCAGTATAGTCGTGACGGAGTACACTTGTCTCGCGCGGGGGTAAAGACGTTGTCTGCATCCCTGGAGCATGAAATTGTCACTCCAAAGGGTGCGTTTCGCCAGTAGAGAGGGGTCGGGGAAAGTGGGAGTCAAAAAACAAGCAGGTCCTGGGAAGTAAAAATGGTTACTCAGGACAAGGGGTAAAACAGGACCAGGGAAGGGTAGGTTTAAATGTATACTATACAAACAGTAGAAGCGTTAGAAATAAAATAGACTTACTGAGAGCGGTTGTATGTACCGAGAATGTAGACTTTATAGCAATCACTGAAACTTGGATGAATCTGGCGAGCAAAATTTTTTTAATCAGAGCACCACATAGAAGGGTACAACCTTTTTCACAAGGACAGGGAAGGTAGGAAGGGGAGGGGTCGCACTCTTCGTCAAGGATACATTAAAATGTTGTATTAATAATTCAATAAAGGGTGAAATAGGAACCGAGTCTTTATGGGTAGAAATCACGGAAGGAAGAGAAAAACTAATTATGGGAGTGATTTACAGGCCCCCCAAGTCTTGGGAAAGAAGCAGCTCAGCCCATATGGCAGGAAATGTGTAGGGCAGCAAAATATAACAACCTGTGCATTATGGGGGATTTCAACTTCAGAAATGTTGACTGGGACAACATTGTAGGTGACTATGAATCTGAAGACTTCCTAGATGCAGTACAGGACAATTTTTTGAAACAACTTATTACAGAACCTACTAGAGGTGACAATATATTAAACCTAGTATTGCCAAATAAAGAAAATATTATCAGAGATATCACAGTATGGGAAGAACTAGGTAACAGTGATCACAGAAAAATCAGGTTCACCCTAAATTGGGAAACGAAAAACAATGGCAATATGATCAGAGTCCCAAACTTTTAGTTGGCGGATTATCAGGGGTTAAGAAGGTACCTAGGTGAGGTCACCTGGGAACAGTCAGGTCAGTCCCCAGTAGGAAAGGGTGAGTCACAGATGACACAACAATTGATCATGAGTATAATATATTCACTAGTATACTACGTAAAGCACAAGAACAAAATATACCATACAAAAAAACTAGGTCAAATAAGAATGAGCCAAGGTGGATGACCAGAAAACTTAAACATGACATAGGAATAAAGAAAGGAATTTATAAGAAATTACAGGGAGGGGAGGAGCAGCTCAGAAATAGGTATAATGAACTATCTAGGAATGTTAAGAAAAATGTAAGGAAAGCAAAGAGGGACTATGAAATCAGAATAGCAAGAGAATCCAAGGCGAATCCCAAGGGATTTTTCCATGTATATAGAACAAAGGTCAAGGACAGTTGGGCCTTTAAGGTTAGGGAGAGGGGAAGTGATCAATGGCAGTGAAGAAATAAGCAAAGCATTGAACAGCTACTTTTTATCAGCTTTCACAGAAGAAATTCACGAGGAAATTCCAGAGGTGGAACTGATGTTTAGGGGAAAGGAAGAAGAGAAATTAAAGAATATCACTATCAGAAAAGAGGATGTTCTTAAGAGGATAAATAAATTAAAGAAGACAAAATCCCCAGGGCCGGATGAAATTTTCCCTCGAGTCTTGAAAGAGATTAGCAGACCCCTCGTAAATTTATTTACAAAATCATTCGACACAGGAGTTGTGCCAGAATTGTGGAAACAGGCAAATGTAGTACCCATATTCAAAAAGGGAGACAGAGCATCAGCATCAAATTACAGGCCGATCAGTTTGACGTCAGTAGTGGGGAAACTTCTTGAATCAATTATAGCAAATAGCATCCGATCGCATTTAGAGAAAAGCAAATTAATCTACGACTCTCAACATGGGTTTACAAAGGGAAAATCTTGTCTAACAAATCTGCTGACGTTTTTTAGGAAAGTCTTCGAGGTAGTAGATAATGACGAAAATTACGATGTTATTTACTTAGACTTAAGCAAAACATTTGACAGAGTACCGCATAAGAGGCTTCTGAGAAAAGTTAAGGCTCATGGTATCGAGGGGAAAGTTTTAAATTGGATAAAATCATGGCTCACCGATAGAACGCAGAGGGTCAGCGTAGATGGTGGTAAATCTGAGTGGGGCTGTGTAACCAGTGGGGTTCCCCAGGGGTCAGTACTAGGCCCACTCTTGTTCATAATCTACATAAACGATCTAGATACTGGGATCAGCAGTGACATAAGCAAGTTTGCGGATGACACCAAAATAGGGCGGCAGATTAATTCAGGGCAGGATGCAAATGCACTACAGGAGGATTTAAATATACTACAGGGATGGTCAGAAACATGGCAAATGAAATTCAACACCAGCAAGTGCAGCATACTTAATATTGGAAGAACAAATACTGTCAATGTATTCAGCCTTAACAACATCAACCTAGAGAAGTCGACTTGTGAAAGAGACCTTGGGGTACTTGTAAGCCCGGACCTACGGCCTAGAAAACAGTGCGTTAATGTTCGAAATAAGGCAAACAGAGTATTGGGTTTTATATCTAGAAGTGTAAGTAATAAGAGTGCAAAGGTCTTATTGCAACTATATCTTGCGCTAGTCAGGCCACACCTCGATTGTGCGGTTCAGTTCTGGTGCCCTTCTTATAGAATGGATATCAATTCACTGGAGTCGGTGCAGCGAAGAATGACGAAAATGATTCCGGGACTTAGAAACCTACCATATCAGGATAGGTTAAAGAAACTAAACTTGCATTCCCTAGAAAGACGAAGAGTGCGGGGAGATATGATAGAGCTTTTTAAGTGGGTGAAAGGAATCAATAGAGGGGATATAGATAAAGTTCTTACAATATCCGAGCAGGATAGGACTCGTAGCAACGGATTTAAGTTGGATAAGTTTAGGTTTAGGAGGGAGATAGGAAGGTACTGGTTCACAAATAGGGTGGTGGACGAGTGGAACAAGCTTAGCAACTTTGTAGTAAGTGCTGGAACGCTGGAAAGTCTTAAAAGGAGGCTAGATAGATTCATGGATGAAGGAGAGTGGTAGTAACTTTCGACAGGAGCTGCCATGCACAGGCCAACCGGCCTATTGAAAACTCCTTATGCTCTTATGTTCTTATAACTTACATTACCAAATTGTACAGTAATGAGTCTGCTTTATAATAACACAGGAGTATGCATGTAGACTCTCAATCTCTCTCTCTCTCTCTCTTGGCAAGGACTAACACTACTATATAAAATACAAATGAGTCTAGTTTGCATTGGAGGTTATAATGATCATTGTACAAATCTTGTTTATTTCTCTATGATTTTTTATCTTTATAATGATAACTAAGCTGGACATTATACTCTGGGTCTATGTCAGTGACTTTGGAACAATGAAGGAAGGAACACGGGAAGCTGTTAGGAAAAAGTTCAGTATGTTGTAGTATACCATCTTGATGCCCGAAGAACCCACAAAATAAGCTCGTATTGGATTTTTATAACTTAATATAACTTTTGGGGGGGATTTTTCCTTCATTAGTATATATTTGTTTCGTATTTTTTTAGTTTTTAGTTTTTTAGCTTTTTTAATTGTTCATAATAAATATTTAAAATCGGGAATAGCTTTCATAATCATCCTGTAGCGAATAATATCCTGATAATCCTTTTATGTTCACTAAACTCCTTCACCCTTTCTGTGTACTCAATGACCCGCATCTGCCTGCCTCAACCTACAAACTTCTCACTTGGGTTTTCTACAACACGAATTTTTTTGCCGTTTTTTGTCCTGTGTTGTGGATCTTCCTGTATAAGCTGTAGCTGGCCTCTACACCGGTTTTTTTTTTCCTGGACGGTAAAGTTTCTGTATTTTACGCTTTGTAGTTTTGCCTTCTATAGTGTGTGTGTGTGTGTGTGTGTGTGTGTTACCTCTTACGGTCTGGCTAGGTATAATATCAACATAACAGCCATTAGTGAGTTCCGGCTCCCAGACGACGGTCGACTCATAGAACGGGGGTCTGGCTATACCGTCTTCTGGAAGGGTAAGCCTACTGCGGAGAGAAACAGCATTTACGGAGTTGGCTTTGCCATCCGCCAACGCATCCTACATAGGCTAACTGAAATGCCTATTGGATTTAACAAGCTCCTCGGGACGCCCCGAGTCCCACTGAATCACTCACGCCATGCCTTCTTCATCAGTGCATACGCCCCAACACTGGATGCAGAGGATGACATCAAGGAGGCCTCTTACGCCGACCTCGACAGAGTGCTAACCTCTATCCACAGGTTGTGCTCCTTGGTGATTTCAATGCCAGAGCTGCTGTCATATGGCAGGGAAGTATAGGGGAAGATGGACTAGACAAGCGTAATCCCAACGGTCTACTACTCCTCAGCAAGTGTGGTGAACACTATTATGCAAAACATTGGCATCTCATTGACTACATCATTGAGAGAGAAAGAGATCGCCGAGATGTCCTCATCACCAGAGCCCTGCGCGGCTCAGACCACTGTGATAAAGATCATCGGCTCATCACAGCCAAACTCTTCCTTCACGTCGGCCCAAAACGGTGTAGGCAAGAAGCCTCCAGAAGCGTTTTCAACACCAAGAAACTGGAGGATCAAGCGGTACAACACCGTTTTCAGAGAGTAGTTCAATGATGAGCTGATAAGCAACCCAATAACAAACAACCTCGGTCAGATCAAAACAAAACACCAGGATTGGTTTGATGAAAATAACTAGGAAATCGACGTACTTATCAATGGTAAGCGTGCTGCCTTCACTGGTTGGAAAAGCAACTCCCAGTCTCGTACCAGAAGAAAATAATGACCCGGTGTAAACTCCGGGAAATGAAGGACGAATACTGGAATAAAAAATTGTCTGCAGATAGACACCAGATGTGCGAGTTTTTCAAGTCAACTAAAGCAATCTATTGCCCAACTCCTCATAGCGCCCCCCACCCCTCCGTTCATCCGATGGTAACTCCCTAATTAAAGACGAAGAAGGCATCCGTCAGTGCTGGAAATAGCACTACCATTCCCTGCTCAACCGAAGCACCGATATGGATGTCCTGACTACCCAACAGGGTCCTCAGAACCCACCTCGTGATGAGGTAGCTTCTGTCATTAAGCAAATGAAAAAACAATAAATCCTCAGGGCCTGATGGAGTCCCAGCCGAGATGTGTAAAGCAGGAGAACCTCTGCTTACCAGCCGTCTCCACTCTCTCCTGGAGAATATATGGGAGAAGGAGGAAATCCCCATAGCTCTTAAAGACCCCTCCATCATCAATATTTATAAAAAAAAACAAGGTAAGCAGGTCAGACTGTATCAACTATTGTGGGATCTCGCTTCTGTCCGTAGCTGGCAAGATTATCGCCTTAGTCCTACTAAACAGACTTCTTCCTGAAGCGGAAAATTTCCTTCCAGAATCTCAATGTGACTTTAAAGTTTAGACCATCATGTAGCAACACTGACATGATCTTTGCTGTCCGCCAGATACAGGAAAAGTGGAATGAACAGCAACGTGACTTGTACATGGCCTTCATCGACCTTACTAAGACCTTCGACTAGGTCAACAGGGAAGCTCTCTGGCGGACCCTCAGTCGCTTTGACTGCCCACCAAAATTCATTGTCATTGTGAATGGCAGTGTCCTGCACAATGGCACCCAGTCGAAGTTCTTCCCCATCCCAATGGGGGTAAAACAAGGATGTGTACTGGCATTGGATAAAGGGACTTTTCAAGATAAGACAACTCAAGGCAAGAACAAAGGTGTCGGCCGCTTCCATCACTGAACTTCGGTATGTAAACGACTTCACCCTCATCGTTCACACTGAACACGACCTGCAGGAAATCCTGAACACCAACGTAGATTCGTATGCACACTTCGGCCTTGCGGAGAATGTATGTAACTCAGATTCTCTTTCAGCCTGCCCCTGGTTCAGCCACACCTCCACCATCCATCCAGTTTAATATTACTACCCTCACTAATGTTACCCACTTTCAGTATCTCGGCTCCCACCTGTCCACCACTGCGAACATCGATGAAGAAATTCAACATCGAATCAGATGTGCATCTCAAGCCTGTGGCAGACTCCGTACCCGTGTCTTCAGCTGTATGGAGCTGAAATTACCTACAAAGTTGCACGTATATCGAGCTGTGGTCCTCCCCACCCTGCTGTATGGCAGCGAGACATGGGTCACATGCAGGAGGCACATCAAGGCACTTGAAAACTTTCACCAACGTAGCCTACGTTCCATCCTCTGAGTTCGCTGGGAAGACAAGAGAACATATACCAGTATTCTCGTCGACACCAACTCTTGGAACATCGAGGCTACCAATATCCACGAACAACTACGTTGGACTGGTCATGTTTCCCGCATGGACAACAGCAGACTTTAAAGTCACCTAACGAATGGTAAATGTATTGCTGGCTGACAACCGAAAAGGTTTAAGGATAGTCTTAAGACAAACCTGAAAAAGTGCCAAAGTGACCCCCCTCACCTGGGAGACGATCACTCCACACAGTAACGCTTGGAGGAGCACCACACGAGAAGGTGTCAATACTTTCGAATTAGCTCAACTGTGTACCGAGGCAGACAAGCGTCAACGCCGGAAAGACGCTGCCGCTGCCCCTCCCGCACTAGATGTAGCCCTCCACACATGCAACATTTGTGGACGACCTTGCCGGTCCCGTATCGGCCTCTCGAGTCACCTCAGAGCTCATCAACGAAGGTGACATCTTTAATAACACACATCATTGCATCATTGCTGGATCATCGTCATTTTAGATTCCGAGTGACAGCAAAGCAGTAGTAGTATGTGTGTGTGTGTGTGTGTGTGTGTATGTGTGTGTGTGTGTGTGCGTGTGCGTGTGCGTGTGCGTGTGTGTGCGTGCGTGTGTGTGCATGTGTGTGCGCGCGCGCGCATGTGCGTGCATGTGTAACTTTCTGCCCGTGATTTTCTTACATAATTTCTTTCTTGCTTTCTCCTGTACCGAGTTACTGTACCTACATTACAAGACGCGTTATGGTATAAATCTTGTGAGAGTGAGCAAGCAGTTTGGCTCACATGTTTTGTGGATGGTGAATGTTACTAAATTAACCCAAACTCGTCCTTTCTCGAGTGATTTCTCTTCCTTTCCTTACGCTTTTCTTAAAATAAAAAAAATAATTATTTATAGACTAAAAACCTACAAATTTATTGGTAGTGTAAGTATATTAATTTAAGGTCAATCACTAATAAAAAATTACAACATACAATAAAATTTAAACACAAATAAATTATATCTTTTCAAATTTATGTTAGATAATAAAAAAAAAATTTCAACGATTTTTATATTATACTATAGGCGATTAAAATAAATTTGGGATGAAACAATTAAAAAAAACCAGGTTGTAGGAGTCAAATAAATTACCATAGATTTTTCCGATTTATTTTTTTTATGGATGATAACACAATACAATCTTTCCTTCAAGATATCTTCTCTTATTTTCTCTACGACAGGATATCTTCAAGACGATATATCCTACGGTATTTATCCTGCTGTATGATAGATAAATCCTACAATAGAATATCTACCACTACAGGATATCTCCCTCCAACAAATTGCCTCCCTCCATGTTATATCCCTCCTACAGGATATCTCTCCCGCTGGGTGTCGTGGTCAGGGACGATCTCCACGCCCCCAGGATCCCCGTCTAGGAGTTCACCCAACGAGAGCGGCATCCCCTTGTCCCCGCAGCCTCCGAGAGCCTTCCAGCCTCGGTCCAGGGCGTCCTCCAAGGTCTCTAACATGTCGGAGGTGCAGGCGGCGGCAGGTCATGTTGAGGTTAGTCTGAAGTGCCGTGTGTCTGAGTGTTACCTGTGTGTCTGAGTGTTACCTGTTGGATGATGTGTTACCAGTGAGATGATGTGTTACCTGTGGGATGATGAGTTACCTGTGGGATGATGAGTTACCTGTGGGATTATGAGTTACCTGTGGGATGATGAGTTACCTGTGGGATGATGAGTTACCTGTGGGATGATGAGTTACCTGTGGGATGATGTGTTACCTGTGGGATGATGAGTTACCTGTGTGGATGATGTGTTACCTGTGGGATGATGTGTGTTACCTGGGGATGATGTGTTACCTGTGGATGATGTGTTACCGTTTGTTGATGTGTTACCGTGTGTTGATGTGTTACCTGTGGGATGATGAGTTACCTGTGGGATGATGAGTTACCTGTGTGTTGATGTGTTACCTGTGGAATGATGTGTTACCTGGGGATGATGTGTTACCTGTGGGATGATGAGTTACCTGTGGGATGATGTGTTACCTGTGGGATGATGAGTTACCTGTGGGATGATGAGTTACCTGTGGGATGATGAGTTACCTGTGGGATGATAATTGTGTTTGTGTTTTATGTCCAGTCATCCTCGCCGTCTCCTTTATCGCTTGTTTGTTTGTAATTATCCCATTTATTTCCTTTTATCTCTCATCTGCCTGTTCCTTTTATGCATGCCAGTTCCCTTAGCCTGCCCTTCCCCTATTCCTTGTTGTTCGTTGTTTTTTTTTAAAGAAGGAACGTGTACTCTACCCATTTCTTCTCGTGCTCTTTTTTCTCCTGTCCTCTTATAGTCCCCTTGTTCGCCTTCACTTCCCTTTCATTCTTCTTCTCCATTTCTCATTATGTTCCCCCCCGTTTATTCACTTCTCCTTCTATCTTTCCCTCTCTATTCACCATTCGTTACCCCTCGCCTCCTCTCCTTCATCTCCTCTTCAGTTAATCTTGTCAATTCCTCCATTCCTCATACACTACTTCTCTTCTCCCCTCTCATTCCCTCCTCTTTATTTGTCTTTCATCTCCCCTCTTACCACCCCTCTCTCCATCCCACTCACATCCCTCTCCATTCCTCATTTACTTCTCCCTTTCTCCCCTCAGCTATTGTAAGAGTTTGGTGCACACACACACACACACACACATGTACGTAGAATATGTGTACGCGCGTTCACCCTTCCTCCTACGTCTACATGTACACGTGCCGCCTCCCCTTCTTGCTTATGTCAACAAAGAACAGCTGACGTGAGCGAGTGAGGGTCTGAACAAGTCGTTGACGTGTTTACAGGTCATGGGTTCTATTTGTGAATTGGGTTGACAGGATTCTAATGGGTACAGAATTCTAATGGGTACAGGATTCTAATGGGTACAGGATTCTAATGGGTTGACAGGATTCTAATGGGTACAGGATTCTAATGGGTTGACAGGATTCTAATGGGTACAGGATTCTAATGGGTACAGGATTCTAATGGGTACAGGATTCTAATGGGTACAGAATTTAATGGGTATTGAGTGTAATGACAATGACGATGATGATAATGATGATGAGAATGATAATGATGTTTATATATTTCTCATTTTGTCTGTTTCCAAGTATATGTTATCCAATGTGTGTCTGTCTGTTTAAAAGGCTGTGTTATTTGTGTATGAATTTATATCTGTCTATACGCTGTCTGTCTATTGTATACCTACATCTCGCCTATATGATAAACCTGTCTGTCTGTCTAAATTTACATCATCTAATCTATATACTTTTCTGTCCATAACCTAAACATTCACATTTGTATCTGTCTGTCTATCTGTTAATCTACCTACTTCTTTTCTTATACGTGTTAGCCTGTCCAACTCTCTCTCTCTCTCTCTCTCTCTCTCTCTCTCTCTCTCATAGTTCGTGTATTATCCCGAGCATTATAAACGCCTTATAAATATGTAAATAACAGCGAATGATTCAATTATACTCTGGGATGAAACTGTCTAGATCATGTGGTATTGCTACGTTATCATCCCCGGTTGATTAAGTCTGTCATCCACGGCTCGTCTGTCTGTCTGTCTTGAGCGGGAAGCATTTATTAAAGCAAGCATTGAAGATACAAGCGAAATTGTAGCTGTTTACGTTAGGGTTGTTGGAGGCATAGACAAGATCCCAGTTAGTGTTCATTAGGTCTTTCAGGTCTTGTGGCTGTTTTGTATAAGGCAAAAACTGGGAAGTGATCTGAGATATTGTTATAAATAATTCCACTTGCTAGGTTGTTAGGAGTGTTGTTAGTCCAGATATGATCTATCACAGTGGCAGAGGTGGCAGTTACTCTAGTGGGTTTGGTTATAGTGTTGAAGAAGAGTTTAGAATGACAGGTAGCAAGAAGGTCTAATACTGAGGTGTCGGTTTCTGATTTTAATAGATCAAGGTTGAAATCTCCTGTGATGTAGCAGTCTTTCCTCTCTGAATTTATGATAGAGATAAGCTCCGAAAATTTATCAAGAAAATTCCTTTTTTTATCATTACATAACATTACATTACATACACTGTACATACATACAAACATACAATACCTCCCAGACATACATACATACATACATACATACATATACACATATACACTTCAGCGAGACACACACACACACACACACACACACCACTAAGCACCACAATAAACGCCACAATATTACCTCCAAGCACCATACTACACCATTACAGCCCACTATCTCCTCTCATCAACATCATCTTTCATACACACTCTTTATCACACATTTCTCTTCTTCCCTGGTTTAATACTACTTCTTTTCCTTCACTTCCTTGTTTATTCTGTTTGTCATTGTTTACATTCCTCTTTCTATCCTTCCAAACTTCTCGTATTTTGATCTATCTGTCTGTCTGTCTGTCTGTCTGTCTGTCTCCTGTCTCTCTCTGATTTATCTTTCCCTCTTCTATTCTCTCTCTTTCCCAGCCTATCCACTCCCCTTCCCATCCCTCTTCTCCCCACAATCTCCATTACTCCTCAGGGTAGTCTAACCAATCACAATGAGCCATTTACTACCCGCCTGCCAATTAGGTGATTGAGAGGCACCTGGCCGGCCGTTAACTAGTTATTCACGGGTGCCTGAGCGCTTGTTATGTTGGTCGGGATGAGTTGTCCAGCTGGAACGATCCATGCTGGATAGGTAGACCGTAAGTGGTACAGTAATATGGCTGGGTTTAATGGCCTGTTTGTTTACTGGTTTAATGTTTCAGCGTTTTGAGGGTCTATTGGTTTTGTGGTATAAAGGCCTCTTGGTTTAGTGGTTTTAAGGATCTGTTGGTTTAGTGGTATAAAGGTCTGTTGGTTTAGTGGTTTAATGGTCAGTTGGTTTGGTGGTTTAATGGTCAGTTGGTTTGGTGGTTTAATGGTCTGTTGGTCTAGTGGTTTAATGGTCTATTGGTTTAGTGGTTTAATGGTCTGCTGGTTTAGTGGTTTAATAGTCTGTTGGTTTAGTGGGATAAAGGTCTGTTGGTTTAGTGGTTTAATGGTGTGTTGGTTTAGTGGTTTAATAGTCCGTTGGTCTAGTGGTTTAATGGTCTGTTAGTTTAGTGGTTTAATAGTCTGCTGGTTTAGTGGTTTAATAGTCTGTTGGTTTAGTGGTTTAATAGTCTGTTGGTTTAGTGGTTTAATGGTCTGCTGGTTTAGTGTGTATATATAACTCAGGTGGACATCATGACAGTATTACAATATGCAAATTAGTTCACCTGCGATGACATTTAATTTGCATACAACTTTTGATGATGATGGTGAGTTAACCTCCTGTGTGTGTGTGTGTGTGTGTGTGTGTGTGTGTGCGTGTACGTGCGTGTGTGTGTGTACGTGTGTACAAATATATACCCAAACGAAATAATATTAGTCAATCGATCGCACACATGAGCAACTCGCAATATCTCACACACACACACACACACACACACACACACACACACACCCAAAACATTAAAAAAAAACTTGCCACGTTCCTCCTCTTCCTTATCACCCCTCCCTCTCCATTCCTCCCCCTCCTTCCTCCCTTCCTTCTTAGCCACCCCTTTGTTCCTTCCCTTCCTCCTCCCTTCCTCCCTCTCCTCCTCCTCCTCCTTTCATCCTCCACCCTTCCTCTCCTCCCTATCCACTGCTTCCTCCCCAGTTCCTCCCTCTTCTCCTATCAGCTCCCCTCCCCCACCCACTCCTCACCAAGTAGGAGGTCATTAAATCTTGTAAAAGTTGTCATGAGTATAATTACCTCTCTGGCCAATAGTCGTCTCCCAGCTGTTGCTATGGAAACCAACGACGTCACTGGGACAACATAATAAAATGGCGCCTATACTACACCGAGACTTGACTGTATAATTAGTTGTATTTTTTTTTTAATATAATAAGTTGGGTAAAAAATTTTGGAATCCGGATATAATTTTGGGAATGACTACTAATAGAATCGACCAAATAAAATGTTGATCACTTCAACTTAAGCCCCTAGTGTTGTTAAGAGTCATTCGGTCGGGTGATCGGTCGGGGCTGTCGGTCGGGCTGTTGGTCGGTCTGTCGGATCTAAACACGAACGTAAAAAAAAAAATATCTCAATTTCAATACCTTCGAAAAATATGAAGATAGAAAGAAAAAAAAATAGGGAGACAAAATGAAAAAAGGAATTGAGAGAAAATGAGAAAGAAGATGAAGGAACAAAGACGAAGAAGAAGAGAAGATAAACAACCATAGGAAGGATAAGGAGGAGGAGGAGGAGGAGGAGGAGGGGGAGGAAGAGACTAACGAAAGAGGGTCAAGATGAAAAAGGGTGAAGGAACAAGAGAGGAATGAGGAAGATGGAAGAGGAAGGAAGAGGAGAAAGAAGAAAAGGGAAAGAGGATTAGGAAAAATATAAGAGGAAGGAGAGGAGGAGGAGGAGGAGGAGGAGGGGAGAGGAGGAAGAACAGACAGGGTAATAGAGTTGTTAAGTATGAATAACGAGTCAACAGGTGATTCAATAAATACAAAAGTAAACAAGTCAATACATTAATAACAAAAACAATCAAGGGGGACGCAAACAGCCCCGCCCCGCCCCGCCCCGCCCCGCCCCGCCCCGCTAGTTGCCCTTCTAAGACCTCGAGACCATAACAAACCCTACACAAACACCCCTATTATCACCTACAAATATAAAACGACTATCTCAGAGGGACACACAAGACCAATTTACCACAGAGTCTAAAGCTTCATGACATTCTATTTAGATTTCCGACCTTAAGAGGACGATGCATTCGACCGTGGGATACGTCCAGCTCTTTGGGTGTCAGCTGACTGCCGCGGAAGGTAATTGGCAGGCGTTTGAGCAAGGGAGCAGAGAGAGAGAGAGAGAGAGAGAGAGAGAGAGAGAGAAGCCAAGGGTGTGGCGGCAGTCTTGGGAACAAATTGTTTCCTTCTCAACCGGAGGAGGAGAAAGAAGATCAGAAGGTGTGATAATGATACGATCTTCTCTGGTTATAATGAGCGATAGGAAGGTCTTCTTGTTCCACGTCCTGTCTGGCTTTTTTTTTTTATCTAAAGTTGGTGATGTTGTGGAAATGAAGGAGAGATGAGTCACACGTCAAGTGATTCCATTGAGAAATGAAAGAATCTTGATATTTTATAGAAGATGGTGTTGAAGAAATGGATGAAATGATCTCTACTTCCTGTCTCTAACAAAATGAGATACTATTCAGGAGACTCAATGGAGAAGGGGGGAAGAGACATCTCACACGACGAGTTATATGTCTTAATGGTTAAATGGCTCCCGTGTAACAATGTCAGGAGTGTTCCCGCTAATTTCGAGTCAATGAATACCTTAGGCCTGTCTTCAGTCAATGAGGAGGCCTACGATATGCGACATCATGAAGCTTTTCCTTTGTGTCACGTAGTTTGAATATTATGCAGTGATACAGTGAATTATAAGAAATATCATAACCTAACGTCTGTTATCCCGGTTCCTCAGTTATTCTACCTTCCCTCATATCCCCTTACTACCCCGGATGTGAGAGAACCAACTGCAGATCTGACCACAACCTCCAGTCAAACGTAAACACATATCTCAACACCCCCTCACTCCCTCTTACGAGTATAACGAGACAGAATAAATGAGAATGAGATAATAAAGAAAGATTATAAATAAATAAAAAAGGAAAGAAAGGATAAGAGTAAGGAAATAAAGAAATAAGAATTAAAAAGAAAACATCACAGCTAATTTGTTACATCCGGTGTGGTAAATGGAGGATCTGGAAACCTATGGGATGAATGATATTTTGAAATTGGGTAGGTGGAGGATGGTGTAGATGAGGCAACGGAGAATATGAGAAGGTATAAAATGGGTAAAGATTGAGGAAGGATAAACCCGACAATGACAGAGGTAAAGTGACAATGCCTTAGCTGTACGTCAATGTGAATCACTATGAGTATTCTTGGGAAAGTTAATGTTGTTTATAAAGGCCACACGAATTATCTATTGTATGTAGAGGTTGAACTTTGACCTCAACTTGTGACCCTGACCTGGAAGACAGAGACCCCCAGCTAGGTGGAGTGGAAGGAGGGAGGTAGGGAGGTGTGGAGGGAGGCACGGAGGGTGGGAGGTGTGGAGGGAGATGTGGAGGGTGGGAGGTGTGGAAGGAGGCACGGAAGAAGGGAGGTGTGGAGGGAGGGAGGCACAGAGGGAGGGAGGGCACAGAGGGAGGCACAGGCAGGGGGAGGGCTGCACAGAGGGAGGGAGGTGTGGAGGGAGGAACGGAAGGTGGGAGGTGTGGAGGGAGATGTGGAGGGTGGGAGGTGTGGAAGGAGGCACGGAAGAAGGGAGGTGTGGAGGGAGGGAGGCACAGAGGGAGGGAGGCACTATAAGACCCTCTTCTCCTCCAGGTCAAGAGAATGGTAAATCATCGCGGTCACCGGTACACAAAAAACTCACGTCAAGTGCCAAAATTCTCAATCCAGCAACAATGACCTCGACCTTTGACCCAAGTGATCCCAAAACTATAAGGAAACCTCCGCCTTAAACACAAGACACCTAAACAACATCCCACTCAACGCCTCATGTATAATTTATGTTACAGTTCGAGGAAAAAAACTATATTCAATTCTCAACCAACAATAACTTGACCTTTGACCCAGTGATCCCAGGGTTATTAAGCACCATCCTCCTCACCTCATGAACAATCTACCTCTATAGTGTCATGATCACCTGTGGGCGTAGTAAACACTGGTCACGACACAGACACCAACACTATTTCCAGCAACAATGACCCTGACCTCTGAGTAGGGACGTTGTTGTTCTTAAGGAGTAATTAACTTATACAATATCAAGATCACCATCAGAGGGAACCAAGACCTACAGCCCAGAAGCGAAAATATTAACAGTCACAGTTATGTTACTTTACTTTACTATACACTCCGTCTAGCAGGAGTATAAAAACAACTGAGGTTAACATAATGAAGGTATACGGGAGGTGTCTGCCCGCTAAAACTTCCAAAAATATTATATGAAGAAGGTGGGCGCGAAGAGGTGGGAGATCTTAACAAGGTGCTGGCTGGGTTAGCGGTCCACTGGTACACATCCGCGGCCTCATCTTCCCACGTGAAATTCTGACACACACTTTACGATGCATTTTGATAACCCAATATCCATCTTTCCTTACCTGACTGATGGACGTTTTCCCACACATTCAACTTCAAGCAGCCTCGTCATACTTTATCACTCACGATATGCATAAGAGGAGACAAGGTCAATAGTATTTATATTACAGTGCATGTATTCATGGAATCATAACCAACAATAATGAAACACTCGTTATTTTCAGATCCTAATCCGAAAAAAAAAGTAGGTCTTTATCGTAAACTTTTCAGACAAAAATTATAGTCCTCCTCCGTTTCGGTTATTTTGTTTTCTCTTAATATAGTCACGATAGAAAATGTTTTGTTGTAAAGGACTAACTATTATTAACCTCTATACTCGGCTACAAACGGAATTTTTATGATGATGCAAGCCCCTCTCAGTGGTAGAGCGTAAATAGAGATGGGCTTTACCTACATTAGAGTATTTTTGGAAAGACTTGCATAGAAATCGAAATTTAGATATGTTTAATTATGGAGAAATTAAGAAAAAGAGATTGATTTTTTTTTACCGATTTTCGTGGTCACTATAATGAGTCCGATTTATCCTTTGTTGTTAATAAGTTCAGAGGAGACGATATTTATGGACTTGTCTGTAAACATTGCTTCTCTCTGAACTATATTAAGATTAAAAATACTAACGCCATTATAAATCCAAGCATAATGATCGACCACCCACATTACTCTTGTTAATAGAAAATCTCTCTCTCTCTCTCTGGTGCGTCATGGCGCCTCCCCACATATGAACTCGCCTCTCTAACTAAGGTGACAAGAGCAATGGGGAGGTTAACAAGGGAGGCTGGAGGAGGAGGAGGGAAAGAGAGGGTGAAAGGGGGAGAGGGAGGGTGAAAGGGGATGCGTCGGAAGAATATTGAGGGAGGGAGAAAGGGAGGAGCGTGTGTAGGAGGGGATGGAAAGGGTGCGTTCATTTATGTATTTGATATTATTGCTGTTATTGTTGTTGTTATTATTATTAGTATTGCTAGGTCAGTACAAAGGGGGGAGGGAGGGTCGTGGGGGAAAGGGAGGCAAAGACGATGGACAGACAGACAGACAGACACAGACAGACAGACTCCTGGGAAGGTAAGTACTGTACTGACAATCACCACATTGACCTCAAATTATTTAGATAATAAATTACTTATCAATGACACAATTAGGCACAATAAAGGTCTGAACTGGGATGAGGACTGACCTTATTTCGGCAACGTTGTAATTTATTTGTTATTATGTTTAGACAAAATAAACATCAATAAACACAATGATGAAAATTAACCAAAAATTGAATTGTCTGTTAACATTGCTACTTGGCTTAACCGATGACGTAAACATTTAAACATGGTAACAAAAGATATTAATTATTTACTGTGTCTCTGTTTATTGTTATCACAAAACCTTAAACATGACAACACATTATAGCCAAACAACTTACCTAACCTACCCTTCCCTACCCTACCCTAACCTAACCTAACCTACCCTACCCTAACCTAACCTAACCTCACTGTACTCATAAAGTCAACAAATCAATTCCTTAACCGAACACTTGAAGAGGTGTATAGAGTGTGTTCTAAAAAATAGGACTTGTTTTATAAAATTACGAGTTTGTAGGACTTCTTTTAAGGACTTTTGTAAGACTGTAGGAGCTAGTAGATATCCTGTATTATTAGTAGTAGTAGTAATAGTAGTAGTAGTAATAGTAGTAGTAATAGTAAAAGTAATAGTAATAGTATCACCATCACCACAACCTGCCCCAACACAACACCACGGTAACCCACAAGACCTCACTCTCCACAGTACCCGCTGGTGCCCAAGCTGCCCGTGCCGCCGCTGGGCCATACCCTCGGCTGGTACCTGACCCACCTCAAGCCGGTCCTCCCCCAAGACGAGTACAGGGTGGTGGTCGGGATCGTGGACGAGTTCGGGAAGCCAGGAGGTATTGGTGAGAAGATCCAGGGAGAACTGATCAAGAGACAAGACGCCATGGATAACTGGGTAAGTACTTGGGGAGGAAGAGAGAGGAGGGGGGAGGAGGTGGTAGGGGAGAAAGGGGGAGGGGCGGCAGGACGAAGAGGAGGAGGAGAAGAAAGGGAAGAGGGGGAGGAAGGGAGAACTGATCAAGAGACAAGACGCCATGGATAACTGGGTAAGTACTTGGGGAGGAAGAGAGAGGAGGGGGGAGGAGGTGGTAGGGGAGAAAGGGGGAGGGGCGGCAGGACGAAGAGGAGGAGGAGAAGAAAGGGAAGAGGGGGAGGAAGGGAGAACTGATCATTACTCAACAAACATCACGATATAAAACACATCTCTCACCTGGCCAATACTAATTAAGATCGTGGACCGGTGAAAGTTAATTTGCTCAAGTTATCCGCGGTGAAATTTTACGTTTATTTCTGAATTATTTACTTCCTCTAACTACTGTGTATCTTTACTCCTCCTCTGTGTGTGGGATAGAACAAGGGACACGGATAGATTAACGAAAGGAGGAGGTAATAAGGACAGTTGATGAACGAGGAGAGAGAGAGAGAGAGAGAGGTCCTTAGTAATTATTCACTTACTGTAATTCACTTTACTCTTGCCTTCTGGCCATCAACTTAATAATTCTTTACGTTTCATCAGCCTCCTCCAATATCCTCCCACACCCCTCCAACACCCCCCTCTACCACCCCTCCCACCCACCTCCCCAAATATATATATACACACAAAATAATATCTCCTCGGCAAATTCCTCTCTTATTTTTCCCTCTCGTGAGCTGGAGATGTTTGGGGAGGTGAATTAAGCCGGTGGGAAAGAATAAGATAATCTCCAAGTCAACACAGGTGAGCGGGAGGGGTTGTTACCTGTGTTGATGAAGATGATGAGATGGTCTGAGTCATTGGCTAGGCTGGAAGATATGTTAACGTGTGTGTGTGTGTGTGTGTGTGTGTGTAATGTCTAACCTCTCAGTATATCGCAAATATATAGGTAAGAGATATGAGAGACTACATATCATTATTTCTACATGATGTTTTTGCCTCTCTCTCTCTCTCTCTCTCTCTCTCTCATCGGATCCAAATCAAACTCATCCATGCCACACCCAATCCAGTCATCCAATTACAGGTAAACGAGGCGAAAGGAACGAATCAGATAAGGTAGGAAAACCAATCCTATTTTATTAAGTCTTATTTACTCTTAACAAAACCCAATCTTTTTTTTTAATGTTCTTTTTGTATAATAATTTACAAGTACCATTCCATCATTTATTGTTTCATCATTTTTTTTTTTACGATTTACATAAACAAGTTTTATTTTATTTTTTTTTACTGTCTCATGATTTACAATATGCAGTTTACCACCAACACCACAACTCCTATCACCACCACTGACACCACCAATATCACCACCACTGACACCACCAATATCACCACCACTGACACCACCCACTATCACCACCTGCACAACACCAATATCACCACCACTGACACCAACTAATATCACCACTCACCACCAACACCACCAATATCACCACCACTGACACCACCAATATCACCACCACTGACACCAACAATCGTCACTATCACCACCACTGACACACCACCAATATATCACCACCACCACTGACACCACCAATATCACCACCACGACAATCCGTCACTATCACCACCACTGACACCACCAATATCACCACCACTCACCAATATCACCACCACTGACACCACCAATATCACCACCACTGACACCAACACCCGTCACTATCACCACCACTGACACCACCAATATCACCACCACTGACACCACCACTATCACCACCACTGACACCACCACTATCACCACCACTGACACCAACACCCGTCACTATCACCACCACTCCCCCTGGTCCCCTACCTTACACTAACAGGCAACTCAGAAACGTACGCTGCCAGATCGTCATTTAGGAAGTAATTTGCTCTCATGATTGCGATATGATGATTGGGGGTAATTAAGATATGATAATTAAGTTTTTTTTTATTCATGCAACAGGGTTAGTGATGCATAATGGAAGCTCTTGATGAAGCACTAGTTGGAGGCTTCTGCTGATGAAACTTGGAGAGATATACAGTAGAAGCGACAAGTGATCGCGGGCACGTTCGTGCCCTTGTGAGAGTTTGAACGCTCGTGACAGGGTACAGCGAATGAGGGTGTGCCAAGTCCGTAGACTTGCAATGTTTTCTATCGTAAATATAATTGTTAATTAATGCCTTCCTAAAGAAACCATCGACATGGGACCAGGTTTGTTCCACTCTACGATTTTTTTGCGATTTATTCACCAAGTTTGATGAAAAACGATTGTGCCGTTTCGGCCGCGCAGAGCACACACAAACACACACCATCTGTGAAGGAATTACTACACCACGTGAGGCCCCTCATAACACCATCTGTGAGGGAATTACTACACCACGTGAGGCCCCTCATAACACCATCTGTGAGGGAATTACACCACGAGGTGAGGGAATTATTACACCACGTGAGGCCCTCATAACACCATCTGTGAGGGAATTACTACACCACGTGCCCTCATAACACCATCTGTGAGGGAATTACTACACCACGTGAGGCCCCTCATAACACCATCTGTGAGGGAATTACTACACCACGTGAGGCCCCTCATAACACCATCTGTGAGGGAATTACTACACCACGTGAGGCCCCTCATAACACCATCTGTGAGGGAATTACTACACCACGTGAGGCCCCTCATAACACCATCTGTGAGGGAATTACTACACCACGTGAGGCCCCTCATAACACCATCTGTGAGGGAATTACTACACCACGTGAGGCCCCTCAACACCATCTGTGAGGGAACTACTACACCACGTGAGGTCCCTCCTAACACCATCTGGGAGGGAGTTACTACACTACGTTTTTGCTGTTCAACACCTACAATAATCTGTATGTTCACTGTAATGTTCCTTTACCTTTCTCTAATGAAGGCTTTTGTTAAACCACCAATGTATGTAATAAGTCATTTATGTCCAATGTATATTTTCAGCCTTCGGGCTGCAGAACTTTTTCAATAAACCGTCAATTATTATTATTATTATTATTACACACACGCCTAGCGCTATAGTATATTAGATGTGTTTACAGTACAATTGTCAGGTTAATTATTTCACCATTTCGGAGGATTGATATTGATATATTAATGTATTGTTAGTTAATATATAGATAGATACACATACACACATACATTATCAAAAGTATGTCACCTTGTCGGACTTAAATGTTGTGTAATATGATCCGATCTGTAAATTTGATGAATATTTTAGGAATTTGTAACGACTTGGCAATCGTTTCAATATAAAAAAGAGAAGTTTGTTTTGGTGTTTTGTCCCCGACCCAATTTAAAGGCCGGGTAAATTCAGAACTTTATTATGCAATCTTGGTGACATTATTATTATTATTATTAGGTGATCAAGATTCTACCAATTACCACACTGACCGCCATATCACTTCGATAATTAATTACTCATTAGTTAATAATACAATTAGGCACAATAAAGGTGTGAACTGGGATGAGGACTGGCCTTATTTTTAGCGGTGTGATTTTTATTTTATTATATAGAATCCCCCCAGCAATTCCTTATATATCTCTCACACACACACACACACACACACACACACACGAGAAACAGGTATAACTATGACAGATAAATCCCAAACGTTCTCGATATCGACGGATAAATCCCTCCTTGTAATCCCTCCTCGGCGAGTCTGTTGATACCCGTCTATACTCCCAAAGGCTGGTGTGTAATCTAAAGCCTAACGCTATGATAATCCCTACCTTCACGCCTCTTGACCTGTAGCTCTGCATTATGAGAGAGAGAGAGAGAGAGGTAAGGGCTCTCTCACTCAGGGAAGGGTTCAAGATAGGGAGGGGAGGGTTCCTGGCGTCATCTTCTTTAACTCGTCTTCTTGTTATTGTTCTGTTGTTGTTTTTTTTTGTGGGTGAGTATTTTGTGATGGTAGTCTTGAAATGCTTTGTTATGGGTGATGCCAAGGTTTGTTTTAATGGAGTTTTTATATTAAATACGTAGGGTAAACACACACACACACTCGCCACCTAGAGCCAAAGGACTTTCACCATTAGACTTTGAACTATAATCGTCTGAACCTGAAATAAGCCAAAGTATCAGATGTGTATGTAAAGGCTTTGTTAGGTTACCCTTGGTCGAATCGGCTTATAGTTTACTATTCTTTATATACGGTCTATGTACATTGTTGGTTATAATGCCCCTTATCTGAGGATGTTATACACATTTCCTCTATAATATTCCGTTCAGAATGTAATAGTAAAAGTATCGACAAACAAATAATTCCTCACTTCCACCTTCATTGGTGTCGCACGTATGCAGGCACACATCGCACCGGAGGGCCAAGACGTATTCAGTGCTGCTGTGGCAGCTGCCAATGCCAACTGTTAGCCCATACCTGCAAATCCCCCCCCCCCTTAACCCCTCCTCCCCACGGAGATGTCAACAAATTCCTGGGATGAAATATGCAGGGCATCAATACATAACAAAGACTATATATTGTAGTAGGCGACTTTAACTCACAATCAAAGGATTCTCTTGAAACAGTTCAGGACTGTTTCCCAAGTCAACATATAGCTGAACCCACCCAAGGTAATAAATATTATAGATTTAGCTCTCGCAAACAGAGAAAATCTCATTAGTAGTGTCGATGTAGGAAACGAACTTGCTAACAGCGACGCAAAGAAGTGAGATTCAAAACAGAGCTTAATGTCAATCGCAAGAAAAAATTCCATTGAAGTCCCAGATTTCCGTACGGCAAACTTTGAAGGGTTGAAAACACAGCTGGGGGAAGGAATGTTAATTTTGGGGGTGAATTACCTAACCTCACTAGAGGGTGTAAATGACCTGACCTCACATACTGTAATGTGCCCACATAGGGTGACCCCACTTTACCAGATTGTAGGCAACTTACTGGAAGCATCAAATTCAAGCTCAATTCGAAA